AGTCCGGGAACTTTCCGGACAAACTGTGTATATACGTACAGTTTCCGCCCAACATCCTGGAAACGGCTCGTAAGGCCTTATATATTTCTTGGTTTTAATTTCAACGAGCCTTAAGTCATAATTGATGAAAATTTAGATTAAAAGTAGATAAATATAATAAATACAAGTCGGTTTTAGATTAAACATATAAATATCTAGAAGCCAATTATATTTATTTGCAATATTTATTTTTAGTTATATTCTTTTCACTTTATTTCGATACATGTATGTATAAGATTCATAGAACACAAAGATCATAAAACATCAAGCGTTATTTTACAAGTCGTCACTTTTGATGCGCAAACATTATAGATATTTTCCTTTTTTTATGCATACAGTTACGTTTTACATACATTATGAATGCGCGTACTCTATGATCGAAATTAAACATTGTAAAGATAAAAAAGTTCTTTATTAATTGTAAAGATAAATTTGCTGACCAGTCAGTCGTTTATTAAATTGAAGTCGTTTCAACTTGAAACAACCACTAACATCCGGATGTCTGTGTCCGCTTAAATTTAGAATATTGATATGTGCTGTGTACGATCGTATTCTGTAAGTACCGTGTGATAAATTCAGATGTAAGAACCGGTTTTATGTCCATAGGCTATCAGAGATTTAAAAATTGATAGTCCATTATCTATACAACACTTATAGAATTTTACAAATAGATATATATATTGTCTTAGTATTACATTACATATATGTATACATATATATGTATATCTGTTATTTTATCTAAACAATGTGTATCTACAATAGTGTGTATATTTAATAGTGTATATATCTAAACAATGTGTATCTACAATAGTGTATATATGTGCCAAACTTGTTCTGGTGCTACAAAACTATGCGTTTGTAAATAAGCAACTGTGGCTTCGTAATGGTATATTAATAGAAAACCATGCCATATGTAATAGAAAACAGATATTAGGTACGTTTCATATTTTACGTTTCTACAATATTTATAATTGTTTGTTTTGTCAGGTGACATGGAAATTCTAGCGTATTTCTTTGGACCGATCGGAGTGCTTTTGGCTGTAAATCTCTTATTCTTTGCCATAACCGCCCGCGAATTGACCTGCGGTCTATGGAAAGGTGAATTCGTGAAGAGCACTACCGAAAGGTAAGTAAACATATTTTTAATAACTACATTAAAAATCTGATAAAATATATAAATACTGAGCTAAATATATTAAATCTATAAACATACAACTATTAATTAATAAATTTACTTTTTATGACATTTGCACGTAATATATACACAAGATAATTTATTCTTATATAAAGGAGAGATTGTATTCCGTAAACAATATCTGGCACATGCACAAATATTTAGAGACTAATCGATTCTGTGATGGATCAACAAAAGAGTCATCTCATAAGTCAGATTAATCGAGGAAAAACAGTATCGACTATCTAGATGGTTAACCATAATAACCATAATAAATATGGCTTTTGATAGTTTCTTTTAGTACTCTTCAATGAAAAGTATTGTTTTTCGCTCTATGTAACTTTACCCAGTGACAAACTGAAAATCGAAAAATTTACGAACACGTGTTATATGCTCGTCTCACCGGTCATCACCTCACTTGTGGCTTTGTCTTTGCATTTTATAAATATTTACATTCCTACATTCAATCTCTGTAAAATTTTAATAAGAAGAATTGAAAATAAGAAGAAATCTTTCACAGTTTGTTGGAACTCGAGGAAGTTTAGAAAACTGTAATTTACTTAACCGATTATCACTTTGCAGAGAGTAATAAATCGTTTCAAATGATGGCCAATCGATTCGTTAAAATTTATTAAAAAAAAAGAAAGATTAAAATAAAGGAATGAAGTTTTGTCTATGAAATAAACTTAATTATTTGTTATAAAATCGTAATCAAAATTTTATCGTGTTTGTTTTTTCTCTATGTATAGATGTCACTTTACTCGATATATATACAGGGTGTCCAACAATTAGGGCCGGTTGTTCCACCTTCGGATAAATCTCAGCTTACTCGGCAGGTTATCATCTATAAGATAAATGTTACCGAGTAGTTTACCAGTCACTTTTATGTGACTGTTGTTCCACGATTATTTATCCTATTGATAGTTATCTGCATCCTAAAAGCGATATATTGTAACCACTTCCGGAACGTAGTTTAGCAACTGCAAGACTGCGTTCGGGGAACGCACTCTCTGCGTTATTGCATCATTCTATCTGTATCGCTCATTAAATGTAAAAGACAGAATAATAGCGCAATAGCGCAAATAGTGTACTCCCCGAACGCAGCTCAAATGGATGCATAACCTCTTCTTGAGTATTATCTACTTGTGTATTATTCTACCTGTGTATTATCAATATTCGTACAGTTTTAATCTAACTCAAGTAAGTTAAATAATTATGTATATATAAAAATATATGAATATATTTATATTCTTCTTTTTCTATCTTCTTTGGAAATCATCACCAGAGCGTTACCGTGGAAGGTGCCAAAGCGTGACATCACGCGATAGAGAAGTAGAGAAGTACGACTCGCGTCGTACTCTTCCCACCAATAGTAAATTACCTTCTCTATAGCGTGACGTCACGTTGTGGTACCTTCCACGGTAACGCTGATCACTACTATTATTTCTTTATTAGATTTATTATCATTGTTGTCATTATACAAAAATTGATTTTCGCACAATTCTAAATCCATTGTCAATGTAATAAAGTGAGATTCTAAACATATAACTCGATTAACATACAAAGATGTTTTTTCGGGTTTGAACCGCGTTAGTGTCACACTAGTATCAGGCTGCTCTTCAAACCCTGATGAAGTGAGCTGTAATGTTCACGAAACGTCGGTATAAAAATGACACTAACGCGGTTCAAACCCGAAAAAACATCTTTGTATGTTAATACTACACACCGCGAAAGCATCAAATATCAAATATAACTCGATTGTGGATAACGTTTTTTTTTACGATGGGAAATGCTTTATGCATTTCCATCTCTCGGGGAGGAGATGGGATATGTGGGACTCCCTGTACGAGGTTTACTCACTAAAACCTCGGTGGCCTCTGATGGTCATTGCGAGGGGCTCCGGAACTCTTTGTGCAGGACTCTATCGTGTTCCCCTCCCCCACCATCCAGACGGCTATTACCGGCCGTCATAAAACTCTTACCGGAGCACTGCTCTTCACCCTCGGCGAGAGAGAGGGCCACACCCCTCCTTCACCGGGTATGATGGGCCACGTGCAATAGGGAGTGCGGATCCCCGCCCACATTCCTCGTGTGACCCAGCGTCAAACTCCCTGAAGGGAGGACGCTTCCCAGAACGCAGCCAGCTGCACTGATTGGATCGGACCGTCTTCGTAGACGAGCCGGCCCATACCTCCCACATACCAATGGGTAAGTCACCTCACCCATCGCCCCAACCCTGCGCCACGAAGCCTTACTTCTTTGAGGACGCAGGGCCGGGCTTACTCTTCCTTGGCCCCGGGGTGCCCAGAAAAGCATGCGGGCTCTCTGGGCTTGATCTTTTCCCGCCTTTTTAGCCGGAACGGCCGTCAAACTGCCTCCCTTTTTTGACGCACTTATGGGCGGCGAAGGGGAGGCTCTACGTTTCGGCGACCTTGCCACCCGCTGAGGAAGGGGTGGTTCGGTTGCCAACTGGGAGCCCTGTGTCTCACCGGACACAGGGGCTCCTTTACTTACATCTTCAAAGAGGGCGTCTCCCCCGAACCTACGGCCGGAGAGACTCTCTCCGTGGCGTTCTGGCGACCTTGTCACTCGCTGGGGTGGATCGGTCGCCAGCTTGGAGCCCTGCGTGCTACCAAAGTGGACTCTCCCCGAAGCAGGCGAGAGACCTCTCTCTGATGCACTTTCCCGACGCCGCTTTCTTCCAGCAACCCTCTCCGCCAGCTGCTCAGGCTGGGCAAAGGTGGTAGCCACTCTATCCGCAGCAGCCGGGAGGGGGGGGATTGCAGCTGGTACCCCCCAGCACATGGCGGGACGGTCGCCCCAAGTTCCGACACAATGGGCATTTCTGCTCCGGAGCGGTACACTGCCGAAGCCGATGCCCACCGAGACCGCAGCGGTAACAGCAGCCGCTGCGGTAACCGGTCCGACTCTCGCGCGAGGCAAAAGTGCTCCGTGTGTCCCGGGCGCAAGCACTGATAGCACCTTAAGGGGCGGGCCCTAAGCGCCTCTACGCGCGTAAGGAGCCACCCCACCTTTACTGTTTGGACCGCCGTCAACTTCTTGGCCGCGGCCATTAGGCACTGCGCCCAAACGCTCCCAAGACCGGAAGGCAGCGCCCGGACTTTACCCAGACGGATGTTTGTCTCCCGACAGCCCCCAGCCGAGGCCAAGACCGACCGCAACTCCTCCAGGGAAACGGAGGAGTCGAAGCCCGACACTCGCAAGTCTCCTTTGCGCGACGGGCGACGGACGACAACCCCCGTCCCATAGAGTACCTCCCGCATGCGGGCCGCTAATGCGTCCGCCTTCTCCTTCCTCGAGTCACCGATGACCTCAATCATGAGGCCACCGGTCATCGTGTGGCTGCACGTGGGTGATACCCACTGACGCGAGTGAGATTGGATAACGTAACGTAACCTTTTTTTTTTGCGTGACATACAATGGGAGATGAGTACGATCCTGCCACTGGTACTGGCCCTGGAGCATTGCTTTGGTGATAGGGTTTCCCCCAGGCCTGATGGTCGGGCCAAACTTCTTGGCCAGGAAGATGTTAGGCATCTGGCACACTTGTAGGGTTAGGTCAGGTGGCGGAGCCAAGATGGACAAGCTCAACGCCCTGAACTCACTAACGAGTTCCTTCCCACCGGGCGTGTGACCCGAAGGTCACACGTCCAGAACGCAACAACAACAACAAAAGCACCCGGAGGGACTCCGACAAACCAAAGAGGCTCAGAAGAGACTTTTAAGGCCCCTCAGCGCTAGCAGTGAGGGAACTTCCCCTTAGCTCACGGTCTCGTTCTGCCGTCTCCTTAGCGAGCATGATCGCTTCACTAAAGGGAACGACCGCATCCCACAGTTCGACGTCGGCAGCCATACCGCAGAAAAGAGCCGCGAGTGACAGATCTGACCCGACTACCTCTCTTAAGGCCCTGCGCTCGCTATCCCACGCAGGACACTCTGCGAGCGTGTGGCCGGCCGTGTCAACGGCCACACCAGTGCTCACATTTTGGCAATCTCGCCTTGCCAATACGACACAGGTACTCACCAAAGCTACCATGCCCAGTGAGACTTGTTTGTTATTAATTGAAAAAATATTTTCTATTGCATAAAATTAAATAAATGTAATAAATAGAAATGTTATTAATTTCTCGAGTATATCGAAAATTATTAATTGCAGCAACTTTACTACAAACCAAAAAAATCAATACAGCATACGCCAGTTTCATACTATAACTTTGACAGCTCGTCAAACACGTGATTAAAATTCTACAAGAATTTGATGAAACTGTTTACATTTACACACGCACTGTATTAATATTACGTTTATGTAGCTATAATTCAATAAAAAACATTTTTTGAGAAAATTTGCATAATTATCAAAATATTAAGTATATCGAAACAAAAACACTGTCATGTACGATGCGCCGTATCTGAGCGCGCGAAAAACAGACCACCAGATAGATCACTTTTAAACGCTTTTAAATCACTTTTTATATTTCAAAAAGTATTGTAGCCTCGACAATATGGTATTAGAAGTTTTGTCTCAAAATGATCTCAGGAATACGTCATTTAATTTAAGGTCGTGAGTTGTGTGACACCCTGTATATATGTATGTATATATGTATATATGTATATATATTTTGTTTCCTTTGTTAAAAAACGATTTAAAATACTTATTTTTGGGGATTTATTTTGACTACTGTTTGAGAGAAGAGAAAGAAAAAAGAAATTGAGATAGAGAATTTTTGACAATTTTATTTTGGCTTAAGAATCTGAAAATGGATTTACATTTCTTAGGAACGAGTAAATAGGGTAACTGTCCCTATTAGTGTGCTGTTAAGCAAGCGTGCTCTCTTTTTTGAATAAATACTCAATTAACTGACTTCAAATGAGCTTGCTCAAAATTTATATCGATTCTTTAAACTCTTCTTTTGACAATAAGATTTGTATTAGCCCAAAATA